TAAGCTTAAATCTGATTGAATCAAGAGTATTTTTTCTTGTCGATGTCATTAAGAGTCTAGACTCTAGATCCAATGTGTTTTTTTTTCCAGTGAACCTCCAAGTTTTCGATAAACGGAGTTATACGCGTTCAAAGTTTCCAAATTTTGTCCGATCTCTCCTGTTGACTCGATTCACTGTGTGGCGTCCGGGGAAGGCAGAACACGGCTCTAGATCTTGGCGAAAGTTAAAGCTGCCGTGCTAAGGAAAAACGCCGTATGAGCATGCGATAGTTGCCAAATTTCTTCCGATAACATGTTAATTTAGGATGTAGCTCATAGATATTTCTCCTGAAAATTTTCGGATATTTCGAAACAAAAAGCGTGCATTACTGTCTTAAAAAATTGGACAAAAATTGTACAAAATGTTCCGGGTAAATTCGTTTTTCAAGAAAGAAAATTTGGCAAGGTCTGGAGGTTGGTACTGCGTTTTCCCTGAGGACGGGAGAAAGGAAAATAAAGAATTTTGGACTCACCAAATTGAGCTGGCGGCCGAGGCCGAAAATAAGGTCACTTAGCAAGGAGCATGTCTGGAGACTTCTGGCAGTTGAGGGAAGGCTCAGAAGGCGGGCATGCAGGCGCGACGTCACATGTGCTTCTCGGCGGAGGAGTCGCACGGATACCTGGCGACGCCGATTTGGGCGCCGGCGTCGATAACGGGGAACTTCTCCCGGATGGTGTTGCGAGCAGCCCCGCAACTGCAGCGCGCCAACACCTTCTGCAGGTCTTCCTTGGCCTGCCTCAGCTCCTTGATGAGAGCCTTGTTCTGGAGCTCGAGTTCCTTGCTGGCTTTGACCCGTTTCGAGCGGCAATTCTGGGCGTAGCCGCGATTCTTGAGCGTCCGCCGCTTGGCTTTGAACTCGGAGACCAACTCCTTGGGGTACGGCTGGAGCCGCTTGTTCAACTCCCGGACGGTGAGCGAGACCAATTGGTCGTCCGAGATGATGCAGGACTTGTTGCTCGGGTCGCTGCCCTCGTAGCTGGGCGGGCACGGGGACCTGGGAAAGCAGTTGGAGATCCGCATGGGCGGTCTCGTCGTGGCTATCGGGGAGAGCTCGTCGGTGAGGCGGTAGTTGGGGTTGCAGCTCGACATTTGGACGATGCTGTTGCGCTTGATGTCGGTGATGACGGACCGCTTGTTCCAGCACTCCATCTCGTCGTTGCACGGCCGGAGATCCAGGGGCGACTCCTGGCGCTGCTGCATTGGGAGCCAGACGAGGCCGCCGCCGAGGTGCTCGTCGAAGGAGGGCGGGTTCTGCGAGTGGAGGCACGGGATCGGCGAGGCCACGTTCGGGTTCAGGTGGTACTGGTCCGGCGGCGAGCCCTCCGGCGGGGTGTCCGGCGGCGAGAACGGGAGCGGCCCGGGGGCCCGCATGAGGACGCCGTGGGCCTGGTGCTGTCCCGGGTGCCCGTGCGGCTGGAGGCTCGCGTAGTCCCCGTGCCCGGCCACGATCGGCATCGGGGGTAGCTTCACGTGGTGGAGGCTCGGCGGCTCCATGAGGCTCGTCGACTCGTCGCACACCATCGCCAGGTTGTTGTTGGCTTCGCGCTTCACTTGAATGTCCTCGAGGCGTTCCAGCTCGAAGCTCTGCACGTACTCGTTCACCAGGTCGGCACCCGGTTCCATCCTGACACTTGACACGGCGCCGCGCGTACACCTCAATCACATCCCCCAAGGACGGAGGGGGTCACTCGCAACGCACATCACGCATCGGAGCGGGATCAACCGAGAAACGCGCACGGGGAAGCACCGATACCTCGCTCGATCAAATTCACGCTTGATCTCAAAATATTATAAAATCCTTAATGGGATTCCATCAGCCGACTAATCCCGAGTCAGTTGTTCCACAGATTTCACACGATTTTAGAAACTATTAAGTATAAAATCAGGGTATCAGAAAACTGTGTCGAAGAGGACAAACGAAACGGCGATTGAAATGCACAATTTAGTCTTCTAGCTCTAAGAGTCACTGTTTCAACGAAAGTTGAAAGTTTGATGGAAAAGAGGAAAAACCACCAAGATAAAAACTGGACAAGTTGATACGCGGATGGTGGGAACGGTAGCCCGGTTGGGTGCGGAGGCAGCGGCTGCGATGACGGGACACGGGGAGCGCATTGACTGAGGGAAAACTGTGGTTCCACGAAGCGAATCGCGGCGGCGGGTCCGGGAGGCGGAGCCAAGCGACGCTGATTGGCTGTCGCGCCGTTCCTCGGTTCCCGCCCCAATCCCCCCTCTCCCTCACCCCCGGGGCACACGGATGCCGAGGATCTCGTCGCACACCTCGAGTTCGCACGCCTTTTCGCCGGCTCCACCGGTCTTTTCCTGCCTTTTTTCAGCTCCTCAAAGGTCTCCGGGAAGCGTGGGGTTGAATGAGGCATCGAGTGTGACACTTCTTGTTCCCGGCCCGATTGATGGATTTCGTGCAAGTGGAAAAGTTGTCTACTCCTGCTCCATTCAAATATCCACTCGGTGCGTAATATCTAATCCACTTCGCTTGGCGCCTCTTTCGACGCGACGGATATTGAAATATTTTTCACCGCTTTTCACCGAGAAAATTTTAGGCTCGATCGAGGGGCTCCAGTCATTGCTGCGGTGTCTTGCCTCCTTTGAGCGGACCTCAGGACAGATTTTCCAGCG